ATTACCCTGCGCCCCTACTGCCCGGGCCCCTCTTCCTCTTCGATGCCGCGCACACACGCACGTACTACCCATTGGTGAGACTAGCAGACTGCGTCTTTTCGTTCTAGCTCTCAGCTTCTCCTCTTTCCCCCTCCTCATGCCACCTCTATTCTTCCCCTCTCTCACCTCCCTTCCTAGAGCACACCTAACCGCCACGCACGGCTCACCGCACGCACCACCCCCCACCGCACGCACACGCACCCACCGCACGCACACAGCCCCACCGCACCACAAGCTCGCCACCACCCACCCACGACACCAGCACCACCGCGTGGTGGGCTTAGGCTGCGTCTCTCCGCCCTACCCCCTAGCTCTACTCTTCGACTACTCCTCTCCTGCCTCCTCCTCCTCCTCCTCTCTCTTCTCCTCCTCCTTCTCCTCTCTCACCTCTTTCCCCTTCCCTCCCCAGACATAACCTACACACACCCACCCCAATGCAACGTATCCTTGATGAGGCTGAGCTGCGGTCTGGCTCCTCCCATCCTACCCCCCTACCCCTCCTTCTCTGCGCTCCTTCTCTGCCACGCCACCCACTTTCTCCCCTCCATCTCCCTTCCTTCCCCAAACATACACCCACCACACACACACGCACACACACACACACACACACCTACACACCACACACACGCACACGCACAAGCATGCTACTTACCCTTCGGTGAGGCTGAGCTGCGTCTCTCCCGCCCTACCCTAGCTCCTCCTCACTCCGTTCTCGTGCCCCGCACACTTCTCCCTCCCTCTCCCTTCCTCCCCAAACATAACACACACCCCAGAGCACACACACACACACAGCACACACACACACACACACACACATACCACACACACACACCCACAACACACACGCACACACACACACACACCAGGCTCACCACACCAAACACACACACAAGACACCACACACACACACAACACACACACACACACACACAGCGCCCCACACCACCACACACACACACCTACACACACACACACACTTGCACACACACTCACACACACACCACACAATCACGCGGCGCACACGCACGCATCTTACCCTTCGTGAGGCTGAGCTCGTCTCTCCGCCGCGACGTCGACTCGTACAGCGCGACGAACACTGTGGATCGTCGGCATCCTGTATGAGCAGATTCTCCTTGGACGCCCAGCGAGAGGAGCCGCCGAGCGACGAGCTGTGCGACGGCGTGTGCGACGAGACGAGTTGGCCGTCGAGCCGACGACATCGCTGTGTATGTCCCGTCAGCGGCCGGTTGAGGAGCAGCGCTTCTGCAAGAGAGAAAAGACAGAATGAGGGGAGGATGAATTCACTGCGCTTTTATGTGTGATGATGGGGTGGAGTGTGGATGAAGAGGGAATTTTGGGGTAGAGTCAACCTAGATTGTACCAGGAGTCTATGAGCTAATTGTTTTTTTATCGTCATTTTCATTGCCATTGCGATTCTCATTGTCATTATTACTATCCTTATTATGATGATAAATATTGTTATGATAATGATGATTATTATTGATGTGGTTGTTGTTATTATTAATAATATTATTATTTTTATTATTCATTATTACTAGTTTATCGCTTTGAAAACACTATGTCGTTCACTACCAACTTAATGTCGTTGCCGCTGCTACACACAGAACACGACCTTCAGCAAAACGCACTAAGGACGCACACATGCTGCAACCTCCAACAACATACAAGCAACGACGGCTGGGGAAAAAATCCACTCGCATGCGCGCGATCTAAACAAATTTTCGTATTCGCGAGCTTTTTCCAATTCCGCACGGGCCGTGAATGGCTGTCACTGTGCGTTAGAGAGACATTGTTGTACGCACACTCTCTCTCACACGACGGAGCTTCAAGGGGGAGTGTCGTGAATCCTACACTTGTATCTCCCCCCTCTCTCTCTCTCTCGCTCGCTCTCTCGCTCTCTCGCTCGCTCTCTCGCTCGCTCTCTCGCTCTCTATCGCTCTCTCGCTGCTCGTCGCTCCGCTGCTCTCTCTCTCTCTCTCTCTCCTCTCTTCTCTCCTCTCCTATCATCCCTCTCTCTCGCTCCTCTCTCCTTTCTCTCGTCTTCATCTCGCGGATTCGTCATCGTCCTGATCCTCTCTCTCGTCTCTCTGTCCTGGTGTCTCCCACGCCGCGCAGCAGGCTGAGCACCGCCCGCCTGGTACCGATCAAGGCGGAGCTCATAGAGGGTTTACACACACGACGGTCAGACCAGGACATTGTCCGCGACGGGCGGAATCAATGGGTGAAGGCAATCATACACTGGCAGAAACTGGAGGAAGAGGAAGAGAGTGGTAAGAGTAAGGCTGTTTGTGAAGTAAGAGGGAGGGGAGATGAGAGAGAGAGGAGAGAGAGAGAGAGAGAGAGAGAGAGAGAGAGAGGCGAAAAAGGCGAGAGAGCGAGAAAGAGAGAGAGAGAGAGAAGAGAAGAGAGAGCGCCAGAGCGAGCAAGCGAGCAGAGCGAGAAAGAGAGAGAGAGAGAGAGAGACGAGAGAGAGAGAGAAGAAGAGAGAGAGAGAGAGAGAGGAGAGAGAGAGAGAGAAGAGAGAGAAGAAGGAGAGCAGAGAGAGAGAGAGAGAGAGAGAAGAGAGAGAGAAAGAAGAGAGATGGAGAAGAGAACTGACCGGAGTGGCGGGTCTGAGCAGCGATACAAGATACGAAGGAATAGTAAGGGGGAATGCTGTATGCCTCGCTTTATGATGAACGCCAGCGTACATAAGTACGCCAAACGCACGCAACGCACACACCACACAGG